GAAACTTAAAATCTTAACAAAATATTCTTTGTAGATAACCTAACAATCGAATTTCAAACTGCATGTGTTTTCACTATAAGAATGCTAATTCCTACTACAAGTTAAATTAAAACATTATTTGCAACATATGTACAAAAAATCTAGTAATTACCAATTCTAATCTTTCTTAGAAGTTGACTAAGTGGTATTTTAAACCCAAGTTAAGACTTATACCTCAATAAAGTCTCAATGTCAAGGAATCAGTGACGCAGAGGTGAACGTTTGTTGTAATACACACGTATTTATTTAAATATCGTTTTGATTACCAATGTTTAACAAGCAATCATTTACCAATTATAACGAATTTTAACATTAAAATCACATGACTTGGAGTGACTACCATAAAATCTGGTAAAATATCAGTATACATAGTTGGATTCTTGGAGATTTTAATCGAGTAGTGGTTTTTTGGCACTATTTTTGTACATTTTGCCCAAAACAAAAAAATCATTTTTAGATTAACTGAATCTTCAACCTAGCATCTTGTCTGAAAGCGAGGCAAAAATGTCATTGATATCCACGTTATTAATTTTTGCACTTTCAACTTGTATTATTTTAAAATTTGCAGGTTAAGTCTAATGATAACAGAAAGCAATAGTTTTTTTTTTGTAATCTGTTTGATCTTTGGTTAGAATTGAAATCATCGCGTTTAGAGCAATATTTTTTCACAAACTGAATATACTGTTCTTTTATCGTCGTTCTTCCCCAGTCTTCCTTACAAATTATTATCTATGCCGAATTTCAAATTTTCTCCACATTACTTACCTTAGAGCGTCTGTTTGTGATGTATCTGTTGGCGAGTTTATTAAACAATTTCCGATTAGCTAATGAAACGGTAATCAGAATTTGTCTATTCATCCTCGCCGAATTTGATGTCACCTCAAAATTCGTAAGTAACGTCAATAGTTGTCAATAGTTTGCATTACTTATATTGAAATTAAAATGTTCATCATTACAAAATAAACAAGTTTTTATCAAAGAATATGTTCTAAGGCGTTCCAAATCGTATTGTAGGGTTCGGGAGGTTACATAATCTTCACTTGAAATGTAATTCATGTAATATGGTCCCTCTGTATGTGGTTTAGTGATTCATCCTTATTTTTGACTGTACAGTTATTGTGAACAAAATCAGAACCGTCCAATAAAATAATATATATTACAAGAAAGTTTTAGAAAGTACTAACGGACTCTCTAGTAACGCCTGGTAACGCAGTGTGTAGTATGAATAAACTTTAATAAACGCCTTCATTTTAATTAAAAAAGATAGATATAGATAAACTAGAATAAATTCATAGAAAATATTTGATAAACTTAAAACTACGTATTCTAATTTTCTACAATTTTGCAGATCTAAGGTCCATACTCTATAGTTTTCTCAATCTTTAACCTTGACTAGTTCGAGATTCAACATCAATGTCATTTTTTAATGGCAATAGAGGTTAGATTTCGTTTTATTGTGTTGAGAAAATAATAATCTGATAAACGAAAGTTAACAAAGAGGTACTCTCATTAAAAAAATAAAAGTTTGGAACCGAGGTGCTACCGAGTTTTATGCCGCCTCTAACTACCTATACATTATTTTGTGTATCCTTTATTGCCTAGTGTATTTTCTTAATAGTAGTAGTTTCGCAGTAATTTAATCGATTGATTCAGATGAAACACGGTATTTTATTAGATTCTCAGAAATCTGTCATGTAACAATATAAAAGCACCCGTCATTATACATAATTGACACGTAAGTGTTACTCGTAAAACAACAATGCTGAGACGTAAGGCCCCTTTACGCTTTGATATATCTATATTCATAAATCATACTGATTGATCCTTATAACAGTCTAAAAACCCATCTACGCCTACACCGCAAACGCTTATTTCTTTCCATTTATCTCTTGTTTATTCATTAAACCCTTCTTCCGGCCCTTCCACTCGGCCGAAAACAAAGCCCACACTTTCGATTCTTATCCTAACTTTTCGTTTCTCGTCGCATTTCTCTTTTAACGGTGAAAGTGATCAACAAAAGGAAAAAGAGTGAAACCAACGCTACGACCGTGACCTAGTGCACGCCGGGACCTGCAGAACTCTTTTCTGTGATGCGGTGCGCTGTCGAGCGCAACTTCCACAGCCTGGCGCACCCACGCCTATTCTTCAGTAAGCTGACGATAAATACTGTAATCAAACGGAGAGATTACTCTTGCGTTAAATAATCTGGACTTGAAGCAAAACTGGAACTAATTGCCCAGCCACTGGAGGGACCGCTTCCTAGTGGCCTCTGCTGCATGTCCCGGGGAAGGGCCGTCTCTAGGCACCGTCAAAATAGCTTCGAGACAATAACCTCGTCTAAACAGCGTAACGACAAAATAACATATTAGAATCAGAATTCGCTTGACTGGTGTATGGCTTTAATTTTATAAACAAAATGATATTAAAAAATCTAGTTTGGAATTTTTAATAACAATAGCTAAATACATAGTTTAAGTTTTTGAACAATTTGCGCAGAATTCTCGAAACTCATTAACTAACGCAAGGCGTGTACAATAACAACAATAAATTTTCCAAAAGTAATGGTTTTTGCATTCGTTTCTTAACTCTTTGATTTAATTATATACTCGACGCAATGTATTTAGGTTATTACGTAAAAATTTTGCTGTATGTTATTTACACGTTTAAAGTTTTGTAATTGCTGAAATAGCTGTTGACTTGTAAAATTTAAAAAATTACTAATCAGTTGTTTTCGGGCACGTCACATTATCGAGATGAGCGACATGAATATGGTAATATATGGTCATGATTTGGAAATATATTCGAATCGGTATTTTTTTGAGAAAACTGTGAACATGTCAACGAATTACATGCAATTCCCGTTAAGTTTATTAATGTTTATGGTTAACTGATGACTGATTAATTGATTTTATATCCTGTTGTATAATGTTGATAATGATTTATTCCGTGTAAATACCTTATTTTGTATGATTCACTGGCTATAAATATTTTGAAAAAACTATACACGCTAGAAAAAAATTTCAAAGCTGAAATAAATTCTTTTTAGGAACGTGTATTTTCGTGTCTGATGATTACAATAAGTTTCATTTTATACATCAGCAAAATTGGTCTCAAAAATTTAAACAGTACGCCCTTAAAGAGTATTTTTTGATGATTTTTCTGTCAAAGAATTCTTTATGAGAAAAAATTTGACGAAATTTTGTATAAGATTTTTCATTACGTAATTCATCTTTTTTTAATGTACCCTACAGGGGCAATAAAAAAATTACGACGTTGAATTTCACAGAAACAAGAAATGGAAAAAATTGTGGACTTTAAATTATTCAAAGTCTGGGCAAAATGGTTTTGGCGATATTTGATTCGTTCCACACCTTTGCCCTACCCTAAATATTTCTGCATTTTTCTGACTAAAGTAAAAGTATTTGCTACAGTTTATTCATACGACTCAGAGCATTATCGAGGTTTCAAAGGAATCTGTTACGTTTTCAACGACAAATTATTGCAAATTTTATTGCAAAATTTTAGAAATTTTAACAGTAACCCATATACCTACGTAAAGTTTAGAAATAAGGGAGAATTTTGTTCATTAAATTGTAGCTACCACAAAGAAACACGTCGTTCTAAACATATCAAATGAGATTTACTCAACAAAATTTGGAATGATGTCAAATTTTTCGTCTCGAGCATAAGGTAAGAAAATATTATAATGGGGTCCATAAGAAGTTTTATTTGTTCAATTCTACTTCAAGCGCGGGGAAAGTTCTGTAAACCAATTTTTGAAAGAGTAATAACTTTTAAATGAATCAAATAACAATTGTGATTTTGACCAGCAGAAGTTGAAAAATACTTCTGTATTATTCGCTAACAAGCTGTTTCAATGTTAAAAGGGATCCAAATATTCCCTAAGGCTATGTTAAACAGAGAAAACCCTTTTTAGGTAGCTTACCTGCTGGGTATAATATTCGAGTTGTGTTCACACTTCGAGTGAATCCATAGGCGGGTGCTAAGGGTTGGAATGCAGTATATTGACAATGAATTAAAAAGAATTTATTTTTTTTATGTTTAATTTACAAGAATGGAAGGATAATTATTAATTGCGTGATTCTTACAACATATGCATAGTTTTGGAAATTTCATTATACCCTACACAATTTTATTGACAATAACGAGGTGGACAGTAGTACAATGGTAAGAAATATTTATGGCACGCACCAGTTCACCCGAATTTGTAGGAAAACATTTTTTAGTTGTACTCATAAAATAATGCTTATTTTCGTTCGTGAGTAACGATGGGCCCTGTTCGGACCTGGATTATTCTACTTTAGAACATCTGGGGATTACCGGCACGCGACAACTTCAAGTTGTAAATATCTCTGGCTATTGTACTAGTGTCCGTCTCGTTATTGCCAATAAAATTTTATAGGGTAGAAAGAAATTTCCAAAACTGTAGTAAGATCTGTTCGTCACAGGGATTTGTTTTCATACTTCGTGTTTTAAAAACAGGCTATAAGATTCGGTAATCAGTAAATCAATGTTAGCTACCTTTTAAAGAAGTCGATGATGTATTTAGTTTCCTAAATAAATTTCAAATTTTGATTTTACTGATTTTATTTTTCAAAGTAATTTTATTAATAAAATTGTGCGTTGACGTCATATTTTTTGTAAAAGCTTACATTATTATGAACACTAATACTACACAATCAATAAAGAAATTGTGTTATTCATTATTTTTTTAGCCACTTGTATATGTTATTCCAAAAATAATTTCTGGGATGACGCCATCAAAATGTCTAAAGGGCTTCGAAATGCGTCTAAAATGGGTTCAGACGAGTTTTTGCAACTTTGATATGGCAGACCCCGAAAAACCTGTTTTAGTATCCCTAAAGATTAAAAATTAAGAAAATTTGAAATAAAATTAGAACTTTATTTACGAAAAAAAACTTGGTTCACATCTTACTCACAACACTAACCGCAAGTGTTTAGGATTCCAGCACTTGTGGTTTCTAAATTAGAACATCTCAAACTGATTCAAGAACAGTCCGTTTAATGTTGAGGAAAGCAGAGTTGCGTTGCCTAACCATTACGTTTCAGTTGTCAGATTGCTCGCCCAATTCTGGTTTCCTTCACTATATGACCACCTCCGGTTGATCCATAATGGGACGGTATAAAAAACACCCCAGCCCTAGAACAAAAAAAAAAAATATATATGTCTGTGACAATTTTGAAGTAGATACAATTTGAATCAAATTTTTTTAAAAGGTTGTAATATTTTAGGTATTTTTTCCATCATTTGTGCAATATGTAATTTTGTTGCTTTTAACTTAAGAACTGGAGTTTCTGTTAAACACTAAACGGACTATATATTATATATGTACATATTAAAAAATTTATATTTGAGTGTTGGTGGTCATTAAGTTATTTTGACTTAACAAAATAAAAAATAACAAATCGCGTCTATAAAATTTAGATGTATTAGATTAAATTTAACTGTTAAGAAAATTAACACTCTGGGGAAAAGTGTGGGCTAAATCTACATAACTCAGCAAACACATTATAAACAACAAATATAAAATTTTTACTTCTGATATTTTAGCTTTTTAAAAGGCCGCGTCAGGTGTGTACCTACCTTTAAAATCTACTTTTTTAGTAACTCGTAAAAAATCAATAAAAAAAACATCACTACTTTTGCCGAATTGTTTCCGCATATGGAAAATATTCCCATCTCCTTCTTCCACACAAGACGAGTCCTTATTGGAATCACTAAAAAAATATTAGCACTCTTGTCTAACTAATTGGTCTGTACTGTTTACTTGTCTAATTTATCGTCCACCGTTTGTTACGATTTAGGAAGCTGTTTTTCCGAGAGGTTTCTTATTAGGAGTCATTTCGTCCGACGTTATTTTAGCGAGGCTGTTTTGCTGAGGCTCTTTGGACGGCATAGCCTGATGGCGTAACGGCCATGCAATTTCTTAATTATCACTCTTGGACGAGTTTTCGTCGAAATGCTGTTGCATGTTGGGGTTACGTCACGTAATCTGTGGTCGAACAAGAAGGTGAAAAGTGGAGAAAGACGTTCCGTTCGACTTGATTATTTATTTTCTGAAGAGATCGAAAGATGCGGGACAATGGAGTTTTTGTACGACCGCAGTCGCCGCGGAATTATAGTGGGAGGTTTAACTCAAATTCTGTATAAATGGTTGTAAATAATTATATTGCTGATAGCTACAATTACGAAATAATATAGTACTAAGAATAATTGGTGGGTTAGTGCAATGTGACGACGGAAAACATGAGAACATGAAGTTATACCTTTATATGGGAGTATAATAAGCTTTGGTTTTTTTAAAAAGTATGTTTAACGTTTATGAGAATTCATGGACAGTGGAAAAAGGGAATAAATTAATGTAAATGCAAATTTAGTTTTTCCTTTCCAGTTTGAGGAATTTCAGATTAGTTCCAGTTAATTTTAACATATTACAGTTTAGCTACTTCCAGCATAATTCCATGATATACATAATTCCAAAAGAATTACTGAGAATATAATGGGATTATTATAATGCACATAATACATACAATTGTACCCAATTTTAGTAATTAAAACCGAAGTAGTTATTATCTGCCGATTTCAAGGAAAAAAAACAGGAGGTGCATTAAAAACAGTCAATAATAAAGTATGTACTGTATTACCGATTTCGTCAAAATAAATTGAAACAGGATCCAATCATGTTTCCTAATATAACTTGTATAAAACAAAAGTATTTGACTCTTGTAAAGTTAAAAAAGATCTTTATGACAAAATAAGTCATTGCGTCTTCCATATTGAGTGCGTTCAGAACGAATAAGCAGTTTTTTTAATCCATCTTCTAATGCCACCAAGCTAATTTCGAACTAATTTTTATTAATTATTTTATTTCTTATCTTCCTTCCATTTTTCTTTGCATTCTCATACCTACAACTTTATCTTTTACCGCTTTATTTCTAAATATTTATATAAATGAGCTGATGGTCTTTCCAAAATCTAGATCTAGATTTGAGTCCAGTCGTGGTTCCAGGTGTGGTTATTAATGTGCAGAAATCCCACCAGCTTAATTTTCTCGGAATAACGGGGGCTGAGTTCATGGTTCATCTAAATTGAATTTCGCCAAGGGCCTAAATTCTTCGTCCAAACATTCGTTTTATTGCTTTCTTCAGTACTCTTTTAATAGCTCTCGCTCTTTATCACCCATCTTGTTTTTTTGTTCTGTTCACTTTGAATATTTAATCAAATATTGTCTACATCAGCCACTGCATTGTCAGTCTGACTCTTGGTTTATTACACTTGTAGTTCTACCACATATTTTTCGATGATCTTAATTTACAAATATTCGTTCAATTATTCCTTCAGTTTCTAATTTCAACAATTGAGTGTTTGCCGTTTGATTACTTTTGTTCGTGTAGTGACACAATTTGTGGAACAATTTATCGAATACAACAACGTGGAGAAGGCCTTAAAATAAAACCTTCACACCATATTTATAGTTATAAAAATTATAAATAGTATTAATGTAAATTCGTCTGTTTTGGGTACATTTATAATCTGTGTATAAACATACACTAGTGATAAGAGTAGTGACATATTTATGGTGAAATTCTGCAAATCTACTTCAGTCACAACAAGACTATTAATTAAATAAATAATTAGTTGTTACAAATTTTGCTAAAAACAATAATGTAATATCACGGAAATGCCTTCCTAAAGTTAATGGTTAGCTTCAAACTTCAACAAAAATTGTCAGTAGAAAACCTTTTTACTTCACGAGCTTAAGCTAAGGACGTATAGATCGAGTCTATCGGGCGACTGCTACTTTCATATTTTCTGGACGTTTCATGATCCCTGGAGTCCGAAAAAATAGGTCCCTCATTTCCATCTGGCTGTCTGCCGTGTGCCCTCGTCTGATAGACAGGTAATCTCCGAAACTACTAAATCTACCGAACCGATTGTTATCAAATTTTATATGTATATTAGGAATATCGTGTAAATGGTAAAACTTTTAGCAAAATTTGTCCGACTGTCCCCACCAACAATGATGTGACGTCATTTTCAACTTTTACAATAGTAAATGTTATTTAAATTTTATATATTATCCTGGAAAATAGCATACTTCTGCATGTGTGATGTATGAATCCATCTTGAGTAATTACCCTAGACACGCAGATTTTTGTAAAAAAATCAAAATTGTGTGACAACATTTCGGAAAATAACTTTGAAACTGCAAAACCGAATACTCCGAAATATATAGAAAAACTCACTAGAAACATCCATGCAATGCTTCTCTACCTGTACTTCCAAAAGTTAATTTTATCATTTTTTGACACTGTAGTTGTTCGATTGTAATTTAGGAGCGAAGGAAGTTCTGTCGAAATAACTTTCAACCAATTTTCTAGTTGTTTAGTTGTATTTATTTCCCCAATAGCATTAGTTATATTCAGTGAAAAAAATCTGAGGTTTCTAGTGATTTAAATGTAGTGCAATTATCGACAGTTATCTTAACAATAACAATTATGATAAGAAAGCGATGCTCGATTTTTTTCATAATCTAAAGCAATACCAGACTGAGTACTTAAAAATTTTATACAAATTTTTTACTCCTTAATCATGTTTATTTACCAGTGACAAATGTTTTTAATAATTACTTAAATAAGTTTCATACAAAACACCTGGTGTTGCTCAATTGAATATCTGTCATCAAAACACTTCAAAATACTTCCAGTTTTATTAATACAACAATTGCCATTCCAATGCTGTACCTGAGGCTATATTTAGAGTGGTGAATTTTCATTATACCAGGCTTGTCAGTTACCTCATACTTGATGTACATTAAAATTCATTTATTGTTACTTCTCAACAAAAAGTCATGGTGCAGTTAAGTAAAAACCGCATTTAAAAAAAATCTGCGTAATAATTTTAACATGTTGCTTTTGTCATTACATCACTAACTGCAGCATTCAACACACTGCGGAACAACCGAATTTAGACCTTTCACCCTGAGAGAATTTTAATTAAAAACAGAAAAAATATTCACCATCATACAAACTGCCAAAGAAGAATAAAAAGAGCCAATTTTGATAGAATAATACTTAAATTCTAAATTTCTGTTAAGTTCCGTAGATGATAACATTAAATAACAAAATTAATTTTTTTTACCATAAACTTAATACCTATATGAAAAAGTACTTAAATAAGTAAAATTATTTAAAAAATTTAGTTTTAACATTAACGTAGATGACTTTGATAGAATTTAATTAAATATCACTAAGACGAGGTCATCGACATTTTGACAGAGATATTGTTACATGTAACTTTTTAGAATGAACCAAAACTATGGATTCCTGCTCTAGATTTATTTATTCCCCTAAAAAATTACTAGACCTATTGGTAACAGGTAAATGTAGCTAAAAAATAAAAACAATGTTCACTTTACATTGGAATGGGTGCGTTTGTGGAATTTACTTTAACAAACATATTTTTAAGCTTATCATTTCAGTAGTGCACTATATTTTTTTACATTATGCAAAATTGTTTTGATAAAATATTTTTGCCTATTTTACCACGAACAGAATGTTTTTCGCGTGAAGGTCTTTCCTCGTTTTTCTCATACCTCAACATATTTGGGAGCAACCATATTTGATTATCATTTTCGCAGTTGCGACAATGTTAACCTATTGGTATTCAAATATATTTTGAAACAATCCATTAAGATTCTCATTGTCGTGACCCAAATCGAAGATGTTAACGACACCATTTGAGTCACGAAACTCATCACATCCACCTGTTTCTGTCAAAGAAAAGGATTTTTTGAGCATCCTGTTCGTCAATAACACGTGGTTTTTCTTCGAACATTGCAATTATTGTCGTCGTTCTAGAATTCAGCGGTTAGATAACAATTATTCTCTGTCGCAACATATTTTAATAATGATGCACTTTGTTGCTTTCCGGAAAAAGGAAAAAACACGCGATCGTACTGTCGCATCGTGTGCATCCCTGTGCAGCGATTTCACCGCTCATAAAGCCTTTCTGTATCAAGGCGAGCAACTCTTTGCGAATACACACCCTGCAAAGGCCGATAATGACGAAAACGGTGCAGTAAGTGCAGTAAAATATGCAGCGACAAGCTAATATGAAATTAAATTAACTCGCATACG